CACACACACACACACACACACACACACACACACACACACAGAGAGAGAGAGAGAGAGAGAGAGAGAAACAGGATAGACACAGTAAAACTGGACATCGCTTTGGGGCTCATTATGGATACCAGGACAGCCAAGCACTTAACTCCCAGGCTGTCAGCGTGTGCTGCCAACATACACAAACACCAACTCATGAACAGACAGTCACACATGTACATCAAAGCCTCGCAGGCAGCACTGTCTGAATCTGAAATGACACATTACGCAGCAGCCCTGATCTAGAAACAGATTTTGAAATTGGACTCTTACTAACTTTGCATCTTTCCAATCTCTGTCTGCAGTTTCCCTTCATGTTTAACAGGCATGTACATTGGAATTTCAGTACAGAGTGTCTGTAAAGACACTTGGATCCTAACGCAATTCAAAAAACGGTGCACCACATAGCAGACCATCCTGCTGGTATGGCTCTGAACTTTAGAATTGTTAGTTGTGGTCAGACAAAGTATTACTTTTAGATTTCATGCTACAGTGCACCAAACAGATTTTTGAATAAACGTGAAAGTAAAGTTTTAAATTAAACTTTGTTTCTCAGCAAAAGATTAAGTTTGGACAAAATGAAGAATGTCATTTTACCATCAAAGGTGATAATGGTGATATTCTGGCTGGTTGGTTCAGTTTTTTATTTATTTATTTATTTATTTATTTATTTGTTTATTTTTCTATGTAATGTGTCGACTAATTGATGTGTGTTTGTATTGCCTTTACTCAAATTATTTAATATGTAACACATTCAACCACGCACAGTCAAAGTCAGATTTCTATCATTTCAGAAGGCAAAAAATTCCCTTACAGTAAATATTACCTTCTAATAAAGGATGTGTTTTTTCATTAGTATGTGATTTTTTGTTTGTATTAACAAAATATGTCATGAAACATTAGACGGCTGAGGAACAGTTCGGCAGCCAAATTAGAGACAGAAAGTCACAGGTTCAATTCCCCACCATCCACATATGTCATGGTGTCCTTGAGCAAGGTATATTCCCAGAAAGGAGTCATTGGACACATACAGTAATTTGAAATKAATTAATTTTGGATTTAAAACCAATTTAAAAAGCCACCGTTAGCTGCAGCTGCAAATAGAAATGATCAAACACAAAAATGACTACAACTCCATCAGTGTTACAAACGCTGAGCTAAATTTGATGCGGCAGTAGCAAAGAGCCATCCTGAACACATACTTTAAAGGCTAACAGATCACGCAAGATTGTGCAATACTGGCTGAGAACACATAATATCATTTACAAGCTTTGACCAAAATGGATATAACTCTGTCTGTTCTCATATAATATGATCGCCAGCCTTTATTTCTCTCTCATCTTAGCATTAACTTTATTAACTACTCCTTTATTCAAAACTCTACCTTTGAAGACCTGTCAACTGGCAACATCAACAAAGCACATGAGCAAGTGGAGCATCAGATCTGACAAAAAGAAGTCAAACTATTGTGCAGAATCTAAGCCAGCAGTCATGGTTACAGAAGCTCAGAACTTGTTGATGGTGCTTCTAGTGTCAGTGTCCTGCCTCCTGAAGTCTGCTAAGTGAAAGCTGGACTCTTCACTTGGTCCAGCTTCAACAAGAGACTAAGACTGTGTCTCAAATTCAGGGGCTACGTCTTTCAAAATCTGCATTTGTCAGTCACTGACGTCACTGCACCAAAGCCTGTCCAAATTCATGAGTTCCTTCTTATGCAGCCGGCAAATGCGGCCCACAAAACCCCCAAATTTGAAGGCTGCATCTGAGTATCCTTCTCTGCTAAGGTTATCCCAGGATTCATTGTGCTGTCAGCAAACTAAACAGAAAAACAAAAACGGCAGACTTTTTTTTCTGACCAAGTCGGTGAAGTTTGGAAATTCATCATGACCAAAGAATTTTATTTTCAAATGTATGTTTAGCAGTTTAGCTGATAAAATTAAATGAAAATACAATTAAAAGTACTGATACTGGAGCTAAACCCAAATTTCTAATGTTTATTTTTATTAATTTATGTGTAATATTTTTGACTGGGAAGTTATTCATCCAGTGAAAAGATGTGTGAATATACTGTATGTCCCAACACATTTTAAGTCTGAAGGCACATGATATAAAAACGATCCCTATGGTAATGCTGTAGAGCGTGGTCATGCAAACATACATCACCCGCAGGCAAGACCATCTCGTTTTCTGCAGCCTACCTGTGCTGCATAGGGTGTGGCCTCCTTGGGCTRCAGTCTAGGTAGGCTGTCCATAAATTGGGACACTCTAAAATGTTGCACCAGTAAGTAAGGTTAAATTAAGGACTTCAAGAAACTGAAGCTAACAATGTTAGCATCAATGAGCTGAGCAGGTGATTAACAGCATTGTTAGAAGGCTAGTTTTTTGCAAACTTGTTTTGCTGTTTGAACAATAAAACCACAAACAAGATTTTTTATTCAGAAAATAAAATGCGGAAAAATATCTAAGATTTTTTGAAAAATAAAGCAGCATGGCCACAGTTTTCATTTTGTGACAACAGAAATTGAAATAAATAAAGCAACCAGAGGTACCATGGCTAATCAAAGTTGGGCCCGTGTGCTGACAGTTTGGAAAAGTTGTAGTCCTTGAGCAAATTTTGTGTAATGACCTCGATTTTMAAGGGAGGCAAGTCACCACAAAATGTCTGAATATCCCAAGTTATGCCTCTGCAACACAAACTGTTGTATTATAGCACACATATATACACACTTAATCATGATTAGCACGAACAGCTGATGTTAAAAACACAGACAGCTCACACTAAGAGCCCATATTAAGACACCATTAAGAACTGTGAATGTGGAAACTATAAAGGTCTAAAAGGCTTGTAAATTCTGGATGGCACATGCTCACACACATGCACACTCCCAGAGCCCTGGCAATTCAGCACAGGCCTGACTCACGGAGCTGAAGTAGCCAAAACACTGAGAGCAGTCCAGTGCTAAACACCTCCTCCTGGCTCGTACGATTGTCTGCCTACAAAACGCTGGCTCAACCTCTTTCTCTTTCTCCCTCGGTGTGTACGCGTTCCCAAGATTCCCTCTATTTCTGAATGATGTGAAAAACAATTTTGCTTCACAGCTGCAGTTTTTTGCCGAGAGGCATTGCTTAGCTTTTACCTCCAACACACACTGGGACAGGAAGAAAGAGGCAGAGGAAGAGAGGCACAGAGCAATAAAGCAAAGGAATAGCTCAGGTTTATTGATTCGTTCTGCTCCTCTTTTCCTAGACCATATTTATATTTTTCAGCGTTAATATAATTGTTTTAATCGCTCTCTGGCTCGGTCGTCTGAAAGCTCTGACCCTCTCTGAACACAGGCTAACTAACATAAACAGCTTTTACGCTGCAGCTGTCGATGCAGGCACAATAAAAAAAAGGACGGATAAAATAATCAGAGGAAAAGAAACTTGTATTCATGGACCACAGAGAGTTCATGACGGGTGCATGCGAACTGACCTGTACTGCGGTGTCCAGTCAGTGATGTTACTGCTGTTGAGGGTCCAGCGGTACTGCAGGGGCCAGCTGCCTCCAGCCAGGCAGGTCAGTACCAGTCTGTTTCCCTCCAACACCACCTGCTGCCCCCGTCCACCTCCTTGCAAGTAGGGAGCCACTTCTGACAGACATAAGGAGACACAAAGGAGAAAAAATGTGTTACTTTGTTATTAAGACCTGTATTAGTCATTCACAGCAACATGTAGACAGTATCCATTTGAAACAAATCTGGAAAATAAATCAAACACATAAAATAAAGACCTGTATTGACCTTTGCATAAAAATTGATTGGAAGAAAGAAAAAAAAAACAAGACTTAAAATTCTTACTTGTTTGAAAGGAGACATTATCTTTTTAAATCCTTCTATTTCACATTTAAATCATTCAGTTGGGATCTAAGGTGGAACTGCAATGCTTTGSTTCTWTTATATTTTTATATTCTATTTGGCAAATGTCAGACCAGATAAAAAAAAACTAATTTTGAGGCTTCAGAAATGACTTTAGGCATCAAAGAAGAAATGAAAACAGATGTTTCTGCCTTTGKGACTGTATTTATTTGTATGTTGTTCAATCCCGCTCTTGTCTGGCGGACTCTGTCAGGAAATTACCTCGTTAAAGTCTAAAGGCATGACTCCTGAAAAAACGGTCAAATTCTAAAATTAATTTTGTATTTACTTGTATTTTATTTATTAAAATAATGATATTTTAAACAGATTTTACCCACTTCTTCATTTTAGGGTCATGGGGGGGGGGGCTCTGGTGCCCTCATCCAGCAGTTACTGTCACTCTCTCACTCACAGCTGGGGACAACGTAGAGCTACCATACGTCTAACATTCATGTTTTTGGTCTGTGGGAGGACACCGGTGTACCCGGAGAAAACACATGCATGCACGGAGAGAACATGCAAACTCTTCCTAGAAAGGTCCCGGTTGGGATTTGATCCAGCAACCTTCTTGATGAGAGTAAAGAGCTCTACCAACTCAGCCACCGTGACACCCCCACTAATAGGTTTCTGATTTTTTAATTTTTTTCATTATTTTTGATCGTAGTTTAAAGATTGAAATCATTTTCTTTCATTAATATTGACAATATAATAAATACAATGTGTGCTAAAATAAAATCGACCCATTTTGTTGTTTATGGTAGAAACACCAGAAGCACTGATGTGTTTTGTTGGGCCAGAAAACACTGAAAATCCTATTTACTCACTGGAAACACATGTCATAACTTAGCCACAGCTTTTTGCCATCCCAGTGTGTTGTTGAGGTTTCATGAGCAAATCAAACCCAGCTTGTTTCATTGGCTTTACGYTGCATAAAAACACGGGTCAAACTCCGGTTTACAGCAATGTTCAACTCARATTTCTGAAAATGACAACACTMWAWRWSAMMACWSTKTTTTTTTTAGGTGCAACRCAAGATTTGATGATTTAGGATGATTAGGTTGCTCACTCAAGCTTGTCACCTTCTGCCTGAGTTCTTTCAAAGAGCCTGTCATGCTGATGCATAGCCACTATTATTTCCTTCCACKTTATCTGGTAAAAAAAAATACAGCTACTGACACTACACAAGGTATATTGTACTGAAAAACAGCTGAGAATCCAAGCACAAGATTGTTTAATACTGTATTCTGCAGGGGCTGAATCTTCTCATAAGCATGTTGGAACCTCTTGGCGTGCTTTATAAGGTACATGTGCAAAAYGGCTCAACTGCAGCTGCTGTCAAAACAATGCTATCAAGTCTTTAACTCCTGGCTCAGGTGGCACTCAGAGCTGGTGCCACATCACACATCACAAAGGTATCAAGGCTAAAGAGCTTGTCCATAGCACCTAGCTGCTGCACCCCAGCCTGTGGTGAGGATTGAATTGAGCGGAGGAAGTATCAGCATCTGAGTTTGGCTTTAAACATGAATACATATTAACTGCATGAGAAGGGTCAAGCTTTGTTTGTTAGCTTCAGTGTGTTTGGACAGGTTGATGCTCAGAGACTCGGTTTTATATTCTCGTTAACCGGTTCTTGTCACTTCGGATTTGTTTCTATTTTCTCAGTTCTGTACTTTCCTCAGTCTGCATTTTGCTCCAGGAATGATTCGGCAGCTTGGGAGTTTCGACTGGGCTTCTGGTTAAAAATATGAGAAGTATGATTAAGTTCAAACCTTAAAATATAATGGTTCTATTTCATTTTAAATAAAGAAAGCAAGATAATGCCTGTGAAATGCTACAAAAAGCTCCAGCAACACAAAAAATAAACCTCCCTATGAGCGTCACCAGGCAGCCTTTTACCAACACAAATCACAGGTGAATCCAATAAAGACAAAAGCTCCATGGACCACCCACATGGACACTTCTAGTGTGACTCCAAGGTTAGTTTAGAAGTTGAGAGGTGGGGAGGTGCAAACTTGTAATTTTCACAATATAAGACATGCAGCACMAAGTAGTGGAAATGCAAACATTTCCTTGGATGTTTTTGAGTGTTTCACGCTCTGCTAATGAATGAGCACAATGACAAAAAGTCCTGAAGATAAAAGCAATAAAATTGGTCTCTGAGGCAAAGGAAGTCTTTTTTTTTCCCTCCAGTGCTAGGTGTCCTGAAACTAATTTTAAAAGTTCAGGGTAATGTTTGTACTCAGTTATTGTTAAAAGTTATTGAAATTCTTGTCACAGGCTAAATTAACTTGTTGTTCTGCAAGACATTTCGCAAAACAAGGTGATGCAATTTAGATTTTGTTTAATAAAGTGCAACTCTGCCCTCCCTTTTCATCTYCATTGCATCAGTTTCTTTCCTCGTTCTTCTTTCAAAGCAGATGTCTCAGGGTCACCATTTTCCTTCTCTTCTTTTCCAATTTTCTACTGTTTCACCGAATCCCCTCTTCTTTCCTTTAGATTGATAGCTGCTTGCTCTGTGTGCAAGAGGGAAGTGTTCCATCCAAGACAGATTTATATGGGAGCTTATGTTTGTGTGCCTGTGTGTGCGTGTGTGTGCGTGTGTGTGTGTGTGTGTGTGTGTGTGTGTGTGTG